TTTGCAAAAAAACTTCCCAACTACTTACTGCTGGCATAAGTTGATCTGTACTTCTGACGCGAGTCACCTTATTTTTCGTAACGAGCCTTTTGACGAATCGTTCCACCTGAACGTTCCACTTCATGAAGGTCACATACGCTATATAGATGCTGAATAGGATAAGCGCCTCCCACCAATAGATGAAGTTATCGCGAAAAAAGTATATTAATACCAGTAAACTGATACTGTAGAATGTGCAGTCACGAAATAATGGCCACCATGTTAACTCCAATATGGTTTTGGAGAATAGCGCACACATACCGATGACGAAGAGTATGTTGAATACAGCCGAACCGACAATTGTACCAATGCCAACATCATCGAACGAGATGAATACGCCAATGACACTGGTAAATAATTCGGGCGCACTACCGCCGGCAGCCATGAACGTAGCACCGGCTACATCGTCTGTTATATCCAATTTCTCGATGATCACATCCAGGGAAGGCACGAAGAATTCATCGCATACAATGGCTAGCGCTACGAACATGTATATAACACCGATTATATGACATATAACAGCACCATTTTCAAGCTGCTCTTTGGTGAAGAGATCCTTGGGGAAGAGCGGCGCTTTCGTCACATTCGCATGGGCGGTTTCTAAAATGAAAGAAGATGAAAGAGGTAAGAACTATAAATTTTGTATAGATTTTTCAATGCAAATAAGATTGTTTCAGTAAATTGCTTAAGACTTCTTATATATTGGTTTTTTTTTTTTTGGTAATATTAGAAACACAAGTTATTTATTATATTTGGGGTAGTAAGAATTTTTAATATTATATTTTTAGGTGAGTTTAATAGTAGAAATTGAAACTTAATTCATTTAGAGTCAAACGTTCCAAACTAAATGAGAATAAGTTGACAAGCAGAGTCAGAAAATGCAATTGAACTTATGGAACACTTTCTGTACTAATTGTTGAATAATAATTTGGTTCTTCTCACAACGTTTGATGTCAAATGAAGGATATTTTATTAAGTTTTTGGAAAAAATGTAAACATTATTTGTTAAGTACTATATTTAAATAGCAAAAATATTGGAACTTTATTAATTGAGAGTCAAACGTTGTAAAGAAATTGAGAATAAGTTTACCGAAAGCAACACATAACGCAATTGAACTTGGGGAACACTTTCTGTACTACTTTAATCATTGGTAATAATCATATTTTAAACAATATTTTATAATGAAAATGTTTGCTGAATAATAATTTGTTTCTTCTCTTAACGCTTGAAGTCATATGGACGATGTTTATTTAGTTTTTGTATAAAATTTTTAGCAATATTTGGAAAGTACAATATTTATGCTGCACAAATATTGAAAATTAATTCATTGAGAGTCAAATGTTCCAAATAAATTGAAAATAACTTTAGCAATAGTGTCACAAAACGCAACTGAACTTGTGGAACACTTTCTACTCTACTGTAGTTACGTGTTTATAATCAAAAATATACTTTAATCAATATAAAAGTATTTTATATTTGTTTTATAAAATATTGTCCATTATTCGCCCATCGTATTTTTGTCAATTAAATGTAGTTTCATTATTTTAAATCAACACGCGGTAAATAATTTTAAAATGGCAATATTGTACAGCGTGTTATGCCGTTTGATATAAAGCAGTTAGTGTACATATCGATATATATTCATATGGGTTTGCTATCTTTACACCAAGTTCCATTCATGCGCGAAATTCCTGTTTGATTTTGATATTTCGTTTTGATTGATGCAACGGTACATGATTGACAGGCAATTTGCGCACTCGTTTGCTGACCAAAAGGGATAATCTTAGATAAGTGCACACATACCACAACCGTATTGTTGCCTTTTATTGTGTGTAACCTTTCGATCGAATAAATTGGGTTGGAAAAATACAATTTTAGAAATTCTTGCGAATTATAAAACAAAATCTTATTTATACAAATATAAAAGATTATTGTTTAAATGATCGTTTTTGCCAAATTTAAATTCATACTGCTTTAGAGCCTTTACATACATTTCTGTACATATTTTGAAACCCAATTGAGAAATTTCTTGAGTTTTTTCTCCTTTGAAAATATGGAAATATGGGTTCCTTAGTTCAATACTTTTAACTTAAAAGAAATACACCTTAAGGAGATATGTTATCTCCACTTCTCTGAGTCTTAAAAAATATGAAGGAAAGAAAAAGGTACATATCGTGGATTATGCAGATAATATATCGGTTTCGGTTAGAAGTAAATTCACAAATATCCTCGGTAACTTTATGAAACAATATTCAACGACTTCAACCGAGGGGCGTATCGAGCGGTCTAAATTTAAATGATAGAAAGACAGAGCTAGTATTGTTCACTAGTAATTTTACATAACTGCCAATAAACTTTTCACGAGCTTTCATACTGAGGGAGTCCTCACTATTGATCATCTATAAAGAGGGATATGCTTAGATACTTAGTAAGTTCCCGTTTCCACCCGAACCACTTCAATAGTGTCCCTAGTGTTGTCTTCTCTACAGGAGCTGTATGACAAAGAGCGAGATGAACAGCGACGAAGGCATAAGAATTTACATTGATGGGGCCAAACGGAATAATCGAGTGGGAATTGAGGTCTTTTCAGCAAAGTTAGACACCAAATACCTAGCTAGGATCGATCAAAAGAGAGATCAATGAACAATTTCAAAAAGTTGCAAATAAAAGATGGAAAAAACATAACAAAATGTAATATAACTAAACGATTATGACCAACATATGACAAGAAAAGAACTAACGACTTATTAAATAAGGTCTACTAAAAGTGGAAAACATGCGTCCAAAATGGGTATGCCCAACAACAACATCTGCCGAGGCTACGAAATAGTAGTGAACAAGTAAACAATTTTCCCTTTTTCTCTGAGAATGCCCGCCCTAACACAGATCCGAGACAGAACACTTGGAATCCATCAAGCACCAAACCTTGAATGGATGTCTACAAAAAACATGTCGAACATAAGTAGCTTCATCAAAACCGCAAAATGGTTTGAAAGAGAAGATGCAACGTGAAAGCAAATATAAAAGGTCTACGAATAGTGTATCAAAATGGCACAGTCAGTGCTAATTGAGCCCGAAAGACATCAGGGCTGCCAACCTCCTACCTACCTACCTACCTAGACACCAAAATCGACAGACTTCCGTTGAGATAAAACGGTGACCAAGCCAGGATTTAGGGGTAGTTAATTATCTACTATAAGCTGGTCCCATACACCCAAATTAGGAATTAAAACCAATCATGTTAATTCGACTGAAGCAATGGTCCAGAAGCAGCCAGCTTTGACTATTAGAAGAGGAATTGAACTCCATTAAGATCGCCAGAATCTCCAGGGGTTGATGGTTGATTCTTATGTATCCGTTTTATAGTACGGGCTTGACAGAAAGTGACTACTTCCTGTTGCTGTGTATGACTGACTCGGGTGGTGGAAAATTTTCTTCAATCTGCTGCCTCAGTTATTTGCCAAAATCGACAAAATTGAAGAGAATAGACTAAATAGCATACATTGTAGCTCTAATAGATTAAACTGCCTCGAAAAGCGAACCGGGTTAGTAAAATTAACTTCAGACAGGAGAAAAGAACAAGAATATAATATAATGCCAAGCATTTCTTTACGACTAGTATGGAGGTATACTTAACTTAGTAACCTATCGGGTATGCCTCAAGACGAAATTTAAAAATTGTTCTTGAACAGACTGTAACTTGTCAGAATGGTTTTGATAACTAGGGTTCAATATAACTCAGCTAACTAAGCAAGTATTCCAAACAAGGTTCAACCAAATTGTGTAACTAATATACGAACCTCTAAATTCTTTATACCAACGTTTAACAAAACTAAAAACATCTTTGTTTTCAAGATATTGGTATGAATATAATGATTAAAATTAGGCTTGGTTATCATAGTAACTCCCAAATCAATAATGTTGAAAACTTGCTGTAGTATATAGTATTTTATTACATAAGTAGAGGCGAATGCAGATTAAAAGGAATGTAAACATTTTTAAGATCCAATGGCAAATGATTCCTATCACACCAAGTAACCAAATTGTTTAAGTCTGTTTGCAAAAGGCACAGTAACCTTTTAAAGTTTAAGATTTAAAAAGCTTTACGTCGTTGTAAATATAATAAAATTTTTGATGATTCTATTACGGAAGAGATACCGTTAATAGGTAACAAGAACAGTATTCTGCCAAGATGGAGTGCCCTTGGTAAACACCTGAATAGACATTAATTGGAACTGAAAGAGCATCCTCAGTTATCACTCGTTGTGATCTATTACAAAGATTGAATAAATCTTTGTTGAAAGCTAAGAATATCAAGTTTATGTACCAGAATAGAGTGATTTACTTTATACATACTACATGCATACTGCATACTACATCCCTACATAATCCTAATAAATAACTGTTCTGTTAAAAGAACTCTTTTTCCTGAAAAGGCTGATAAAGATTGCGGTAAGTTTATGTATTTGGTAAAGGAAAAAAACCCCATCAATATTAATTAATTAAACACGCTGCTTTCATTAAATCCGTATGTTTTTGCTTACTGGCAGCTTAACGCCATTTATTGCTTGTTAACAATCAGTTAATGGCTTGCCGCCATTCACAAAAAAATTATATTATTTTTTTTATTCTTTTTTCGGGTATACATATATGGGTATGTACGAGTATATGCATACATTTATGGTAATTACTTCGCCCACTCATCATAAATACTTCAAAGGTAGTTAGTGGCAGTGCAAAGATTTAAAGCAGGTATTTGCCTTGAAATTTGTTAAGAGTATGCTTAAAGTTGTACATACTTTCGGTAAAAACTATGCTTATTTTTTTGCACATTTTTAATACAAAAACAAAATAAGCTGATGAAATATCTCCAAAATACCATTCTCACTTCCATAAATTACCTTTGTTTTAAATTTATTTAGTGGGAATATTTGAATGAAAGCTTATTGCATAGCTTTCATAAAGCAAATTTAATTAGTCTCAATTGATAATAATAATATTTGCATAATTAGTTATTCCGATGGAAAAAAATTGGCACTTTTACTTCACCTTTTATGCTTCCTGTACCGTAATAATTGCCCAACGATGCAGAAGTTCGTAAAGCAATTACTCATCTGAAGAACAACAAACTGTTGGAAGCGGTGGATTGTCGGCCGAGCTATAGAAAGTGGTCGGACGAAAGCATGCAGACGATTGGATCACAATCTGCGCCAACTACCACGGGATAAGCCTGCTCAACTTCACATGTAAGGTTCTATCGAGCTTATTGTGTGCAAGATTAAAGCCCACCGTCAACAAACTGATTGGACTTTATCAGTGTGGCTTCAGGCCTGGAAAATCAATAGTCGACCAGATATTAGTCATGCCCATGAAATCTTGGAAAAAAGCTGAGAAAAGTGTATCGACACATCTGCGGAAGATTTGTAGTCTTTGCGCATTGGTTATGGTGACCTCCACGCTGTTGGAGAGATCAGATGGAGAAGGACCTGGCTGCACTTATTATCTCAAATTGTCCCCAAATAGCGAAAAGAAGAACTGATTGGCGCGCAGTTGCTAACTCGGCTATAACCATGTAAGTGGTATCTATGGCAGTAAAGAA